TAAATTTTTGCAAATTTTTACTTTTCATTTACTTTTTTAAAAAATTTGAATTATGACAGGATCATTACAGATTATTAATCTGGAGTATTTTTACTTTGAATTTATATATCGTTTAAGTATAAATAGATATTATACTAAAATGTAAAATCTTGGCTCAAAAAAACTATTAAGAGCTAATCAAAATTTGCAATTTGTTAGTAGATTATTCTAGAAATGTTCTAAAACTGATAACTATTTTTGGTAATATCCCTGACTGTTATAATTGATATACTAAAAGACTAATTAAAGCCAATATAAAGCCTAGTTAGTTTATTGCTATATTGATTTTTCATGCTTCTGGTTAGCATTAATTGCTAAAGTTTAATTATTTTATTTTATCTTTGTTTTATTAAATTTGTTAAAGCTCTATGAATAGATCTTTATATTTTTATCCCAATATCATAAATATATCTTTATAAATTTGTCATTATTATATGTATTTATCTTTATATTCCTACCTATTAATCTATTGTTAATCTATCCAGATTTATTCATTATATCTTAAATCAATTCTGTTATAAATTGTTAGTAATCAACAATCAAGATTAATCTATCTGTATTTAACTTGTATATTCTAAACTTTAAAACACATCTAGTAAAACAATCTTTAGCAGATAATTTTCAGTTTCATATCTATAATATTCACAAGTTGAATCAATGAATAATGGGTATATATCAGGTGACAAATCTTCTAGTATATACTCATTATTCTACCACACATCTGCCAAATAACTGAGCATATTGATAGCATATTGGTAATATATAGATTAGATATCAGGAGATAGATTGATAATAGTAACATGACAGTAATATACTAGAACATCCTGATATCTTACTCTTAGCACTACAGTCAGACCTCTCTAAGTGCACTCTCTATAAGTACACACCCTCTCTAAATGCACATTCAAGTGCCGACCCAAATATATATTTGACCTCTATAAATGCACTTTTTCTTATTATTCTCTATATGCACGTTATTAAAGTGTAGTCCTAGGGGCATGCACTTAGAGAGGTCTAACTGTATTTGGATAAGAGTAAGATATCAGAATGTCCTGATATTTTACTGTCATGTTACTATTATTGATCTACCTTCTGATATCTAAACTATATGTTACCAATATGCTACCGATATGCTACAGTTATTTGGTAGATGTGTGGTAGAATAATGGGTATATACCGGAAGATTTGTCTTCTGATATATACCTATTATTCATTAATTTAATCTGTGATTTGTATATAACTACCCCTAGGTCTCTCTCTTGAATAGATTTTCTATATTACTCCATATCTTTTTTTATTAATTATATAATTAGTTTACTATTCTAAGCCAACTTGGCATCTTTCCAACTGATGCTTTTCTAGTTTTAATAGTAACACTATATTTATATATATATACTAATCTTAAAATCTAATTTGATAGAAATTACAAAACTGCTAAATTTTTGTGCTATTACTATTTTACTCGTAAATGAAAAATAGAGTTTTTAATTCTTATTTATTTTTGAAATAAGTTAATTCCAAAAACTATTAGTAGAACTAACAATTTTTTAGTTTGAAGTATCAAAGTATAAAATATAGAGATAATTGTCAAATTTAGTTCAGTCTTGGCTCTAATAAAATTGCTATTATATATATTTATAATCCTAGTTCTGTTCTCAGTCTTAATACATGAAATTTTATAATATAATTACTAACTATCAAGTATCATGTAATCTATATTATATCTAATAAAATAATTTAATTAGATAATGCAATGATTATAGAGATGTTTACAAGAACTGGTCTTTTAAACTTTCTCATAGTCCTTATTATATACAAAGAGCTTTAATTATGATTAGTCAATCATTAAATATATTGTTACATATATACTGCATCTTTAAATAAATTGTATGCTATAAAAATAAATTATAAAACAAAACTGAACACATATTTAGAAACTATATTTCTTATATTATATATAGTAAAAATAATTCAAAAAACAAAGAAATAATTCAGAAGTTAGCTACAGGTATATGTTTTTGTCATATAGGCTAAAGCAATTCAGTAATTAACAAGATAAACTAGGCTAATGCATTGCATTATGTGTTAGAAGCATATAATAATCATCATATAATACAAATATATAAATGTGTATATATTTTTGTTATACTTAAAACACAAATATAGACATATGGTATGACTGACAAAAATTTCCAAATTATATTTCTGATGTGATCTTCATAATATGTATGCAGATGCATCAAAAAGGTAAATAATTTGGTCAAATGCATCAAAAACATAATTTTTGTATCACTTTCATAAACATTAAGAGTCTATCACTATGCTCTGGCCAATTAAACTTTGGCTAATAAGTGTTACTATTTTTTTTAACTTATTAATTAACAAATAATAATTCAAACAGTATTGCTAATATACATATTTTTTAATATTTTTTCTGAGCATAGATTATTTGGTCAAGTTTTACGAGTTATAGTATATTAAATATAGAATAGTATAGAACATGTATGATTATGTGCAATGTTTCTGTAGTTAATTTTGGGAGGTTTTTTTATATGTACTGTTTATACTTACTATGAGCATATATTCTACCTATTAATAATAATTAATGGTTCTATAATTAGGTAGCTGCGTGACATGTGATGATGCACTGGACCAGTCTGATCACCTGTGACAGGTTTTTTTTTTATTTAGTTTATTCATTTAGGTGTTTATAGTTTAATATTCTTTTTATTTAATTTTGTTGTTTGAAATATGTTTAATGGTTTATTGATTTATATAGTTTTGTATAATTTATTTAATTAAGGTATTTATGTTTTTATGCTTAGTTAATTATAATATGTTTACATTGTGTTTTTAATTATAATTTGTTTTTAAGATTTATATATTTGTAAATTTTTTTTTTGAAAGCCGTTTGGAGTTAGCATGAGTATTTTTATTTTTAGCTTTATTTTTTTTTGTTTTGTGCTTTTTTTATAGGAGTTTAATGTTAGTTTTTTGTTGATTGTATTTTTTTAATATTTTTTTTGTACTTTGTTTTTTGTTATATTTGTTTGTTTTAATAAGCTTGTCAACGAAGTGACAAAGCAGTCATTATTGCGAGATTAGTAGACTATATTGCAGATCACGTGTTGATTGATTACAGCTTTTTTTAGATATTGTCATAATGACATTATATATCTTAATGAGTGTAGTCTGTAGGCATTTTGTTTGTCTTAAATGTATTGCTTTAATAGAAAATAAATAATTGTTACATTAGTATGTTGTAATTAGTTGTCATGATGTGTGTCCATTCATATGAATATTATGCGTAGGGTAGGAGTGAGTTACCGGGCCAAGGGTATTTAGGATTAGTACGCCAGGTAGTTGTTTGTTTATCTTCTGTTTGTTATCATTTACCTTGGTATAGGCTGGCTTTATTGGCCCATCTTTCATACCCATTGTTTACGAAGCTCAGCAGTTTGAAATAGTGCAACTACTAGTGTAAGGTCTAGGAACCGACAATTGGATAAATTGGTTTCAAGGCTGCAAGAGCAGTGTAAGGACCAGATTGGGAAGAAACGTACAGTAATTCAAAGAGATTTTCATTTAATTGCTATCTAACCATGAAGTTTCTTTCTCTTGTATCATTGAACTAGTGTTGTTCTTGTTTGTGATCAAAGTGTGTTAATGTCAAGATTAAGGTGTGAGATGTATTTAGGATTTGTCGATAGCACGTTTTAATGAATAGATCTGGCTTGGTTAGCCTGTTGTTTGGACTAGAATCAAAATGTAAAGTTATCTCTGAATAGCTAGGGACAGTTATGAGTATATGAAATTTGATTTATTTTTTATATGTATTTTCATTGTCATAGTATTAAAGTCTATGATCGAGCAATAATAATGACCATATTTCATTAAACGAATTTTTAAAGACGCATTATTAGTATCTTGTTTAATGATAGTTTTTTGCAATATTTTTTTTCGTGTGAATATTATTTTAAAATATTAGTAAGGTATTTTTTTTTTTTTTATATATACATATCTCTCTTATAGGAAGGTAATTGTTATGAGTAACATCTTTTGGTTTATGTCGCTTCGGATATAAAGTTTATATGATATAATTTATTGTTGTTATATTCAAATAAATATCAGCAGTTATTTTTAATATGCAAAAAATAAGTTAATTTTGTTGTTTAGTTGTTCATGATACCTTGTTATGCTGATACTATCATTAAAGTGAATCAGGTTTGTCAAACTTGCAACGAGGATTCAAAATTGTTTGCCATACAGGCAGTTGGTATTTATTCTATTGAAAGTGAGAATTGTGAATTAGATATGACTTTATTTATTCTAATGAATGATAAAGAGAGAGATCCTAATTCACAATCGATTTTTAAAACAAATGAGTATTATTGTGTTGGTAGAAAAATCATGCTTGGATCTTACATTAGAAATTTAAGATTAAAAGTTTGTATATTGAGTTGTATGCGTTATAATTTTTGAACTATTATTAAATTTTTTAAATCTAGATGACTGTCAAATCCTTGACTCACCTTTCAATTAAAAAAGATTTTGATTCAAATAGGTGCCCATTAAAAGTTTTGCTTGTTGGTATTGCTCAGGATGTACCTAAAGAGATTAATCATGAAAATGCAATACTTAATGTATTAGTAAATGATTATGCCGGGCAAATTTACAGTTTTATGATCAAAGTTATTTTTCTGCATCATAATTCTTAATTCAAACATTTAATGAATTTCACTCAATTGTATAAATCAGTGCTTTTTGTTGTAGAGCAAATAGAGATTATTGAAAAGGATTTATATGTGTATGCTATCAATATTTCTTATGTTGATACTGGTTCTGCAACAAAGAAGAAAGTTAATATTTCTGAGAATACTCCAGCACTATATAGATCTGTTCGTTCAAGACTTTTAAATATATATCAGAGTGTTAATGAAGATTCATCAAAAGCAGCCAGGATGAAAAATTCAGATTTAGATAACAAAAAGAGTAAGCTCGTAACTGATTTAACTACTGAGGATTTTCATATAGATAAATATACAAGAGTAGAAGACAAGAAAGATGATTTTACTAAGTATGTTAATGAATATACAAATGATCGTGATAAAGAAAGTATGGATAGGAGTAAAAATATAAGAGTAGTATTGTTCAGGATAATAAAAGTTCAGAGTGTAATTATGAAAATTCAAATAAAGGCAAGGAAAAGATTATTTAGCTTGTAGTTTACAATACTAGGCAATGGTCTGAATTGTCCAAGATCATCAACAGTAGCAAGAGAGTGTAACTTGTGGTTTATATTTTTAACGATTAATATTTATCTATCGAGGTTTTTTTTTTTTTATTTTGGGTCCTACTTTTAATACGCTATATATTTATATTTCAAATATTTTTTATAGTATTTTATATACTATTTATACTTCATTAAATTGTAAATAAATTACTTTTTGTTTATTCGATTAGTAATATTTTAATCATTTTATCACTTCGCAATAAATACGATGTCATATACATTTATATTAATTTTTATATAAATATTCAATTCAGTTTTAAATAGTAAAAAGTGATAATTACAATAAATAAACTTTTTAA